ACCACACCCACACTCAACAACCCACCCCCCCAACACCCCACCACACCCTCCAAAAAACCCCACTAAACACACAACCCCACCAACAACCCCCCCCACCACAACACAAACCACCCCCACACCACCAACACAAACACAAATACTCCCAACCCCCACTCTCATCCCCACCACACAACACACACCCCACAACAAAAACCCAAAAAATAATTATTATCCCCTACCACTATCCCACCCACTCTCACACACCACCCCACTCCACATACCCCCCCCCCCCCTATCCACATACCCAACAACAACCAAATCCAAACTTACAACCCCCCACCCACACACCCCAAACCCCAAAAATCACAACCCCCCCCAATTTCCCCCAACACAAAACCATCCCAACAAATTCACAACACCACCACAACCCCCCCACCCCCCAACCCCTATTTACTACAATCCACAAAATACACACAACCTAACACCCCCCCCAACACCAAAAAAACACACACTCACCCAACCTACCACCCAACAAATCAACACCCCAACATCAACAATAACCACCACCACCCCCCCCACCACCCCACACACCCCAAAACCACCCCCAACCACACACCCACCACCAACCCAACAACACACAACAACAACACACCCCCAAACCACATCCCCCCCCAAAAACACCCCCAACCAAACAAAACTAACACAAACCCCAACACACCACTCCATCCCACCCCCAAAACCCCCCACACCCCCCCCCAACACCACCACCACACCACACCACAACCATCACACAATCATCCCCATCCCTCACCACCCTATCTAATTTTTTACCTTATTAACCTTTAACATCTCTATATAAAACCCCCCCAACTAAAATCCAATATTCCCCCATAAATCAAATTAAAACAATCCTTCTCCAACAACCATAAATTATTTACACCTATTCAATATTCCCCCAAACCCCCTCAAAAAACATTCCCCATCTCCCCTTACACAAAATCCAAACCCAACCTTCCCCTCAAATTCTATCCTCATCAATTAATAATCATTCCTTCAACCACCTATACTAACAATCCCCTACACTCTATAACATTTCACAATTCATCAAATCCACCCTAAACACCCAATAAATCTCATCCCTAAATTACTTTCATCCTTCTTTAAAATTAATCAAATCCTATTACATCACACCACAACACACCCCCCCACCCAACAACCCCACAACCCCAACATCCTAAAACCCAAATACCCAACACCAACCACAAAAAACACACAATAAAAAAACAAAACACAACCCCCCCCCACCCCCCACCCCCCCCAACACCAAACCCACCACCCCCACCCAACCAACAACCACCCAACCCCCCCCACAAAACCCCCCCCACCCCCCCCCAACACACCACACACCAACCACAAACACACCCCAAACACCCAAACCCCACACAAACACAACCAACCAACCAACCCCCACAAACCACCCCAACCCCAACCACAAAACCACCACCCTCACCACACACCACCCCCCCAAATACCACCTACACCACCACAATACACCCCCCCCAAAAAAACCAACTACATACCACCATACCCCCCCCCCCCCCCCCCCCCAACAACCAACCCCTCACCAAACATCAACCCCTACCCCCCCCCTACCACCCTCCCCCCCCCAAACCCAACCAACAACCACACTAATCACAATTCACCCAATACTCACATAACAAAAAAAACTACATTCATCCCAAATTTATCCCCCAAATTACCTACAACCCAACCACAAAAACACCCAAACCCCAAACACACCACTAAACCCCTAACATCAAATACCCAAAAAAACCCACAACCATCCCCCAAACCCACCCCCCTCCCACCAAAACAACCCATTCAAACCCAAAACCCAAACCAAAAACACCCCCACCACATCCACCCACACAACACAAACAACACAAACCCCCCTAAACCCCCCCACCCACTCCCCACAACCCCCCCCCAAAACCACACCCCCCCCCACAACAACCACCAAACTCTCAATACCAACCAACCCAAATTCTCCCCCCCCCCACCATCCTCCCACAACATCCAAAAATACTCAACCCCCCCAAACCCCCCCCCCCCCCAACCAACAACTCAATAACAATCTAATCCCAATCCCCCCCCACCCCCAAAACACACAAACATAAATTCCTATCCCATATACTCCAACCCTATTTCTCAACCCCAACTCCTTCAATACCAACAACACAACACACCTTTAATATAATATCCATTTCTCCTCCCATCCTCCCTCCCACCCATAACAACCTAATCCTACCATACACAACATTCAATACCACACCCCACAAAACCAATAAAACAATCCAAAACACTCCCCATCAACCACAAACCCTTATAACCAACCCTAACACACCCCAACCACCCACCAAACCCCACACCCACACACACCCCACACAACCCACCCCCACCCACAACCCACCAACCCCAACCACCACACCCACCCCACACCCCACCCCCCACCCCCCCACCCAACCACCCCAACCCAAACCCCCCCACACACCCACCCCCAAACACCCCCCCCCCCCCCCCCTCCCCCCAAAAACCCCAACCAAACCACCCCAACCCCCCCCCAAACCCCCCCCACAAACCCCCCCCCAAAACCAACCCCCACCCCCCACACCCCCACCACTCCCACCAACACCCCCCCCACAACCCCACCCAACCCCCAACCAACACCCCACAACCCACAACAACACCCAAAACCCACCCCCCCCCCAACCACAAACCACCCCCACCCCCCCCCCCCACCCACAACCCCCACCCCAAACCCAAAAAACAACCCAACACCAAAACAACCCCCCAACAACCCCACCCCCCACACACCCCCCACACCACCACCCCACCCCCCCCACAACCCACCCAACCCCACACCCCCCCACCAACCCCCCCCCACCCCCCACCCCAACACCCCAAACACCCACCCCCCACCCCCACCCCACCACCCCCCACCACCCCCCCCCACCCCCCCCACCCCCCCCACCACAAACCACCCAACAACACACCCCCCCAACCCACCACCAAACCACCACCAAACCACCACAAACCACACCAACCCCACCCACAAAACCCCACCACCAACCCACCACAACCAACCAAACCCACCACAAAACCCACCACCAAACCCACCACCAACCACCACCCAACCCACACAAACACACCACCAAAACCCCCACACCAAACCCACCAACAACCCCACCACAAACCCACCAACAAACCACCACCAAACCACCACAAACCCCACACAAAACACCAACCACACACCCCCCCCCACCCATACCACACACCCCCCACCACACCCCCACCACCCCAACACCACACCACACCACCACAAACCCCCCCCACCCCCCACCCAACCACACACACCACCCAACAACAACACACAAAAAAAACCCCCACCAACCAAAATCCCACCACACTCACCAACCCAAAACCACCACAACACAACCAACCAAACCAAAAACCACCACACACACCATACCACAACCCCACCCACAAACCACACAACCCCCCAAAACCCACAACCCCCCAACCCCCAAAAACAACCCACACAACCCAACCACCCCAAACAACATCCCCCACCCCACCCCAAACCCCTACACCCACAAACCCCAACCACCCAAACAAAAAAACCCCCCAACCCCCCACCCCCAAATAACACAACAAAACCAACAAAACCCCAAACCCCCCAAACCCCCTAACACCATAACCACCACCCAAACAACCCAAAAACCCACACCACCAACCCCAACCACCCACCAAACAACCCTCATCACACCAACACCCAACAACCCCACAAACACAAAACACACAAATACCAAAACCCCCAACACCCCACCCACCCATACCCCTACACCCAACACCCCTCCCCCCACCCCCCCCCCCCAAAACCCAACAAAAAACCTCACAAATAAAACCCCAACCACCCCAATCACAACAACCCCCCCCAACCCACAATCACCCACCCCACACACACACCACAAAATCACCAACAAATTAAAACCAACAACAACAACAAATAATCCACAACCCAAACATCCAACCACAACCAACCCCCCATACCACCCCCCCCACCAACCAACCCCAACCCAAAACACACAACCCAACAAAAAAAAACCCCACACCACCCCCCCACCCCCACTCAACAAAACCAAACACCACCCCACTCCCCCCACAAAAAAAACCCCAACCACCACACCCCCAAAACCCAACCACAAAAACCCCCCCCCCCCCCCCCCAAACAAACCCACCAACCACCCCCACACCACCCCACAAACCCCCCCACCCCCAAACACACCCCCCACCCCCCCAACCCCACCAACACCCCCACCCACAAACCCACCCCACCCCCCAAAACACCCAAACAACCACCCCCCACCACCAAAACCCCCACCCCCCCCACCCCCACCCCCCCCCACCCCACCCCCCCCCCCACCCCACCACACCCAACACACCCACCCACCCACCCCCACCCCACAAACAACAACCCAATCACAACCACCACAACAACCAAAACAAAACAAACACACACCAAAACCCCCACACCCACCACACCCAACCCACCAACCCACACACCCCAAAAACCCTATCTAACAACCCCCCCAACCCACACCCCCCAAAAATACCCACACAACAACACAAACCACCCACCAAACCACACCAAAACAACATCACCCAAACACTAAACAACACATCCAAACCCCAAAACACAAACACAACCCACCACCCCTCCCATACCCCCCCCCACCCAAATAACCAAAACCCCCCCACCCCAACCCCCCCACCCCACACCCACCAAACCCACAACACAAAACAACCCCCCACAACCAACCAACAACAACCACCCCCAACACCTTAATACCACACAATAACACCAACCACCAACACAACAACATCCAAACACAACCCAACTACCACCCACCCCACCCACCACCCCACACACCATACACCCACACCAACAACACCCACAAACATCAACAAATCACAAACAATCCACCCAACCCAACCCAAACCAAACACCACCCACCACAAACAAAAAAATAAACCCCCCCAACAAAAACAACCACAAACCAACACACAACACCCCACCCCCCACAACACCCCCACAACCCCCCCCACCCCCCCCAATCCACCCCCCACACCCTACAACCCCAACCAATTACCCAAAACCAACTCCTCCAACCCCACCCCAACACCAAAAAACCAACAACCCCCCCCACCCACCCCCCAACCCCACACCCCCACACCCACCCCCACCCACACCAACCCCCCCAAACCCTCCCCCCCACACCCCCCCCCAAACAAACCAAAACCAACCACAAAACACAACAACACTCACCCAACAAACAAACCACATACACACCACCCACACCCACACCCCCCACATCACCACAACAAACCCCCCCCCACCACCCCAACACACAAAACAACCCACCACCCCCAACCCCACAACCCAAACACAAACAAACCAACCAACAAACACCCCACACAACACCACCCCCCACCACAACCACACCCACCCCAACCCCCCCCACCCCACCACAACAACAACACAACACACCCCAACACACACACAACCTACCACAAAAAAACCCAACAACACCCCCCCCACCACCCAAAAACCCCCCCCCCCACATCACACCACCCAACCAACCACCCACACACCCCCCAAACCAAAACACCACACACCCACCCCACCACCCAAAACCCAAACACCCTCAACAAAAAAACAACACACCCACACCCACAAACCCAACCCACAACCCCACAAACACCCACACCACAACCCCCAACTACCAAACACCACCCAAACCCCCCCCCAAACACCACCCCACACAACCCCCCAACACCAATAAACCCAACACAACCACCCCCCCCACACAAACCAACACAAACACCACAACCACCCAAAACCCCCATCCTCCACAAAACCACCATCCAACCAATCAAACCCCACACCCCATCACAAACACCCCAACCACACAACCCCCCCAAACCCCACTAAATCCTCAAATCCAACAACTCCATACAAACCAACAAACATCTATTCTACTCCCCCCTCATAATAACACCACCCCCCCACCCAACAAAAACCACCCCCCAAAACCACCACACTACCACACCAAAACAAACACAACACCACCCCCCCCCCCACCCACCCCACCCAACCCAACACCCCCCCCCACCCACACCCACACAACCCAACCCCACCCCCCCCCCCAAATATCCATCCCCCTCACCAATCCACCCACCATCACACAAAACCCAACAAAACCCCACTCCAAAAAACAACAAACAATACACCCACAATCCCCCCCACTACACACCCCACACCCCAAAATTCTACCTTACCAAATCTCACAACAACCCACAAACATAAAAAAACACCTTTCAATACAAAAAAAAACCATATACCATTTACTACTCTACCCACCCCCTTTAACCACCCCACCAACCCAATTCTCCACCCCCAACCAACAATCCCATTCCTATTCAATAAAATAACCTATACCTTATTTTTCAACCTTTATAATTAATCCCCCACCCATTTCTATACACAATACCACAAAAAAACACAAACTCCCCTAACTCTCCCCCCATTACCATCCAATTTATTCCTTAATATTCTCCTCCATCCCCCAAACACCTCATTCCCATCATTTCCTAACATTTCATTCTTCTTATTATTATATCACCATCACCACTCAATCCCCACCACCCAAACCAAATCAACACCCCAAACCAACCCCACCCCAACCACCCATACCCCCCCCACACCCCACCCCAACAACCCCACAAATACCAATACCCCCAATCATCAATACCAACCCAACCAACTACCCCCCTAACATAACAACATTACAATCATATACCCTATATCCTTTCACACCCCCCTAAACAAATATCATATCTATCATATATATATATATATCATATATATATTAATACTTATAATATATAAACTAATACTAACACTAACACAACAAACACACACCACTAAACACACCAACCCACACACCCCCCACACCCCCCCCACAACCCCCCCCAACCCCCCACAAACCCCACCCCCCACCACCCACTCCCCCCACCCAAACAACCCCCAACACCACACCACCCCACACAAACCACCCACCCCACACACCACCCCCTCCACCTCCCCCCCCCCCAACCCCCCAACCAACCACCCAACCCCACCCACACCCACCCCACCCAAACCCCCACCAACCAAAACCCCCCAACACCCCAACCCAAACCCAAAAACAAACAAATCCCCTAACAACCCCTACCCCCCCCCCCCACCAAAACCCACACTACCCACACACCCCCCCCACCATCCACAACCACAAACAACAACACCCAACCAAACCACACAACCACACACACACACCAACCACACACACCATCACACAACAACAACACCACAACACACACACACACCCACACACACCTCACAACCACACACACCCACACACACCAACACACACCCACACACCACACACTCCACAAAACACCAACAACACCACACACACACACACACAACCTCAAACCACACACAACCACACACACACAACAACAAACCACACCAAACACAACCACACATACCACACCCACACACACACACCCAACAAACACACACACACCACACACTCACCACAACACCACACACACACCACACACACACACACTTCCAAACACACCCATACCCAATCACACACACACACACACACTACCACACACCCTCACACTCTCCACACCCCAAAAACAAAAAAAACCCACCCTACCCCCAACAACAAACCAAACAAACTCAACCAACACACAACACCACCCAACACAACAACCCAACTACTAATAAACCTCCCTCCATTACCCCCAAACACCCAACCCAACACAACCTAAAACCCCCAAACCCACCCCACCACCCACCCCACCCCCCCCCACAACACACACCCCACCCCACCAAACCCCCTCCACACCACCCCCACCCCCCCAAACCAACCCACCCCCCCCCCAACACTAACAACTATACCCACAAAAATCACAATCCTCTTAAACACCAACAACTTATCCACCTACCATAACATAAAACACCTAACACTAATACCACACTACCCCATCAAAACCACAACCAATCCACACACCAACCACAAAACCACTACCAAACCACCACCCAACAACTACACCACACTACTAACAACACCACCCACCACAAATCCACCAACAACTAAAACACCAACCCAAAAAACACAACCACACCACCACCCAACAAAACAAACAACAACACAACACAACAACAACAACCACTTTCTACAACACCACCCAACCACAACAACACCAACCACACAAACTCAAACATAACCCACAACACAACCACCAACCAAACAACACAACCCCCCCATCCACCCACACACCACAACCACCCCCCCAACCACCCCCCAACCACACCCCCCCCCCACCCAACATCCCATCACCCCCCCACACACCCCAACAACCCAACAACACCCCAACCAACCCCCACCCCCACCCCCCACCCCCCAACCCCCCCCAACCCCCCCCCCCCACCACCCCCCCCAACCACACCCAAATAACAAACACACACCCCCCACCAAAACACAAAAACCACACCCCAAAACATAAACAACCACAAACACCCCACCCACCACACACACCACCCCCCACAAACCCCACCACCAAACCCACACACCAAAACACCCACCACAAACCCAACCAACCCCCCAAACAAAAACAAACCACAACCAAACCCCCCACCCAACAAAAAAAAAACACAACCCCCCCAACACACAAAAAAACCCAAACCCCAACCAAACACACCCCCCACACCCACACACTAAACACCCAAAACACAACACCCCCACCCACCCACACACACCCCCCCCCCCCCCCCAACCCCCCCCAACACCACAAACACCCACCCCCCACCCCCCACCCCAACAACCCCCCAACCCCACAAACACAACCCCCCACCCCCCCCCCACCCCCCCCCAACCACACACCCAACCACCCACACCAACTACCCCACCCCCCCCCCCCCCCCCCCCCCCCACACCCAACCACCCCCACACCCCCACCCCACACCACAAACCCCACACACTCCCCCCCCCCACACACCCCCCCCACCCACCAACCCCCCCACAAACAAAATAACAAACCCCCACCCCACACAAACCACACCAACCACCCACCACCCACCCACCCACCCACAACAACCACCCAACCACCCCCACACCCCAACCCCCCACCCCCCCCCCCCCCACACCCAACCCCCCCACAAACCCAACACAACCCACCCCCCACCAACACCCCCCCCCCCCCCCCCCCCCCCACCCCACAAAAAACACCCCCCACCAACCCCCCCCCACAACCCCAAACCACACAAACCCCACCACACCCACAACCCCCCACCACACCCACCCAACAACCACAAAACCCCCACCACCCCCCACCACCACACACACCACCAAACCCACCACCCAACACAACCCCACCACCCAACCCAAACAACAACCCCACAACTAACACCACCCCCAAAAACCCCAAACCCCACCACACCCCCCCCCAAACCAAACCTACACACCAAAACCAACAACCCACCACCCCCAAAACCCCCCCCCCCCCCAACACACCACCACACAACCTCTTACACACCACCAACCCAAACCCCCACACAACAAACCAAAACAAACAAAACAAACACCACACCCCCCCCACCCCACCAACAACCACCCACCCCAACACCCCACCACACCCCCCCACAAAACACACCCAAAAAACAAACCCCCCCCACCCAACAATCCCCCCCCCAACACCCAACACCCCCACCCCCACCAAACTCCCCACAACAAACAACACCACCACCCAACACACCACACAACTACCAAAACACCCCAACACCTACACCATATAACTACAGATCCCCACCAATCACCAAAACCACACCATCCCTACCACATATCTACCATTGTCCCAAACATACACACATCAAATATAAACCCCACCAACCCCCCCCCACCACAACATACCACCCCCCAAATATCTACACCCTATCCACACCCCTACCCCAACCACCCCTACACCCCCAACAACAACCTACCACAACACCCACCCCACCCCCCAAACCCCACCCAAACCAAACCACAACCCCCACCCCAACCACAACCACCACCCCCACACCACCCACCCACCCCCACACAACACCCCACCAAACCCCCACCCCACCCAACACCAACCACACACACAACTCACACACCCCAATCACCCACTCCCCCCCCCCACAACAAACAACACACCACAACCCACACACTCACCCACACCAACCACACAACCACCACCCACCCCCATCCCCCCCCACAACCCCCCACCCACCCACCAAAACAACCCCCCCACAACTCCAAAACCAACCACACCCCCCACCACCCAACCCCACACCCAACCATCCAACCACCCCACCCCCACCCCACACCACCCTAACCCACACAAACACAAACCCCAACACCCACACACCACCACACACCCCACACAACCCACCCAACAAAAAAAAACAAACACCAATCAATCAACCACCCCACACCACACCACACAACCACACCAACCCCCAACAAACCCCCCACACCCCCCAACCCCCCCACCAACCCCCCCACCCCAACCACAACAAAACACCCACCCCAACCCCAAACCCCACCCACACCCCCCACACAACACCCCAAAACAAACCCCCCCAAAACCCCCCCACCCCACCACAACCCCAAAACCACACCCCAACCCCCACCCCACAAACCAACCAAACCACCCACCCCAAAACACCCACCCAACCCACCACACCACCCCCCCACCCCCCCCACACCCCCCCCCCCCCCACCCCCCCCACCAAATCCAAAACAAAACAACCACCCCCCCCCCCCCACCCACCCAAACACACACCAACAAACCCAACCCAAAAACCCCACCACAACCCCTCCCCACCCCAACACCCCCACACCTAACAACACATAACCAAAAACAACACCACACCACCCCAAACACCAAACCACCCCCAACAAACAAAACACAAACACCACACACCCCACCCACAAACAAAAACCCACCAACCCACACCACACAACCCAACACCCAAACCACACACAACCCAACTCACACAACACCCCAAACCACCTCCACCAAACACAACCCACACCAACCCACACAACCCCCAACACAACTCCACCACACCCAACACCCACAACCCACCCCCCCAAAACCCCCCCAACCACAACCCCCCCAACACCACACCCCCCAACACCCCCCCCCCCCACCCCCCACCCAACCCACACCACCCCCCCCCCAACACACCAACCAACCCCCCCAAAACCCCCCCCCAAACCCCAACACACCCCCCCCCCCCCCCCAAAAACTACCCCCCACCCCACAACCCCCCACCACACCACAAACCCCCCCCCACAACCCCACCCCAACCCCCCCCACAACCACCCACCACCACAACCAACAACCAAACCACCCCCCCCAACCAACAACCCAACCACCCCAACACCAAACCCCCCCCAACCCAAAAAACAAATCAACCCCAACAACAACACAACCCCCCCACACACACACAACCCCCACACCCCCCCCCACCACACCCCACCACCCACCAACACACACCCAACCCCCACACCCCCCCACCACCCACCCACCCCCCCCAACCACCCCAAAACAAACCCCACCCCACCCCCACCCCAACACCCCACACCCCCCCCCCCCCCCCACCCACCCCCCACACCAAACCCCACAACACAAACACACCAACCCCACCCACCAAACCCCCTCACCACCAAAAACCAACACCAAACCCCACACAAACCCCACCACAAACCACCACCAACCCCACCCACAAACCCCACCACCAAACCCACACACCAAAACCCACACCAAACAACCACAACCCCAACACCAAACCCACCCCCCAACAAAACCCACCACAAAACAAACCAACAAACACACCAAAATTACCCCTACTTCAAACACCTAAACAAAACCCACCAATAAACACCACCCCCAACAAAACCCACCCACACAAACTCCAACCAACACAAACACCCCACACCCCTACCAACCCACCCAAACTCCCACACCCCCCCACCCCACCCCACACCAAACCCACCCCACAAAACCCCCCCCCACTCCAACCAAAACACCCCTCCAACCACAATCATCACCCCAAAACACACCCACACACCAAAACCCACACTCAAACCCAACCCCAAACACCAACAAAAAACCAAACCCCCCATCATCCAAAAACACACAAAAACAAACCCACACACCACCCACACAACACCAACCAACCACCCAACACACACAAACACCCCATACACAAAACCCCCCACCACACTACCCACCCCTACCCCCAACCCAACAAACCCCCAACCCCCAAACACACCAAACACCCACCCCCCAACCCAAAATACCACCCATACCCCCAAACACCCCCAACAACCAACCCCACCCCCAACCCCAAAAACAAACCACCCACAACAACAATACACCCCCATCCACTACACCCCCAACCCCCAACCCCCACAACCTACCCCCCAACACAAACCCACAAAACCACAACACACCAACACCACTACCACAAAACCACTCCAACAACCACATACACCCTCCCCCCCCCACAACCCCCAACACACACCCACACTCAAACCCAAACCTAAAATCCCAAACAACCAAACACCCAACCCACCCCAACCCCCTACACCATCCACAAACCCAACACCTCAATAAACTCATCAAACCTAAAAACAAAAACATCCCATCAACAACCAAATACTAAAAACATACAAATAATACACCCTTACACACACCCACCCTCATCCAAAAACAAATAAAATTTATCTCTATCCAAACATAACAAAAAACAACAACCCACCACCCCAAAAAATCTCCTCAAACCCTTTAAAACCCCCTAACCCCAAAAAAAATATCCTAACCATCACCACCACACAAAACCCCAAAACAAACTCACCACACCAAAACAAAACCACACACCCACAACACCCCCCCACCCCCACACCACCCACCCCCCCACCCCACCTACACAACAACCACAAACAAACAAACCTAAACACACCCAAACACACCACCACCCCCCACCCCAAATCCCCCACCAATCCCCCCCCAACCCCTCCCCCCCAACCCCCCAACCCCCCCCCACCACCAACCAAACACCTCCCCACAAAATACAACCAACCCACCCACCCACACCAAACAACCATACCAAAACTACACCACAAACATAACATCAACAACAACAAACACATACCACATAACAAACAACAACAACCTACAACCCCAAACCCACCAAAACACACATCTCCTTTAAACCCTCCCAACACACCCACCCCCCACATCCCCCCACTATCAAACCCTCTTAATAAACCTACCAATACCAACCTCCATTTCCATCACCAAAAAACAATAACCTTACACATAAAAAAACCATACCCACCCTACACCATAATACAACAAACAAAACAACCACCCCACCCCCCCCAAAAAAACATAACCCCCCCCCCACCACACCACCCCACCCACCCCTTACACATACAATTCACTTAAACAACAATACAAAACAAACACCCATCACCCACTAACAACTTCAACACAACAAACAAAAACCCAAACTCTAATCAAACCATACCATTCTCTTCCTCACAACAACCACCCCCACAAAACCCACCAATCACCCAAAACCACAACTCACACAAAAACCCAAATAAACTTCACTCCCAATTAACTCCCAACAAAAAACATAACCATTCTACAAATAAAAAAATAAAAACAAAAAAACCATAAAATAACCCCTCCTTCATTATAACAATACACTCAAACCCATAACATAACCACCCCACACCCACCACCACCCCCCAACACCCACTCACCCCAACAACCCCCCCCCCCCACCACCCCCAAAAACACCCCCCCAACAAACCAACAACCAACCACAAACCCACACCCCACAACCCAAAACCTAAACCCATACACCAAACCACCCACCCCCACCACCCCCCCCACCCCCTCCCCCCCCCAAACACACAAAACACCACAACCCACAACAATCAAACCCCAACAACTCCACCCCACACATATCAACAATAACCACACCCTACTCTATACATCATACTAAAACAATAAAATAACTTAAATCCTTTTTCTTCCACCTCCCCTCTACAAAACCCCACTCTCCTAAAAAATTCTCAAACCACCCATCACAACCCCCCCCCATACACAACCTCAACCAACTCCACAATAAAATCTTACATTTTAAATAACATTCCTTATTTACATACAATCAAATAAAACACACACCACCACCACAACCCCCACCAAACCCACCACCCCCCCCACCACCACCAAACAACACCACCCAAATCCAACCACCCTCAAAACAAATCAAAAACAATCACCCCCCCCCACCCTACACCAAAACCCCCATACACAACTACCACACCCAAACACCATAACACCCCAATACACACTACACCACAAACCAACCCCACCCCTCCAAAAAAAAACACTCATAAAAACAACACACCAAAAAACCACATACCCCCACCTAACCCCCATTCCATTAACACCTCTTCAACCTCTCATCCATCCCCCATCTACATAAATCCCTATCCACCTAATCCCCACCACCAAATCACCAACCCACACAACCACCCCAACAAAAAACAACAATCATACACAACCCCATCCTCCATACCTAATAAACACCCTCAACCCAACAACCAACCCCCCCACACCAACCAAAAACCCAAACCAAAAAAAAAACAAACCCCCCACTACCCCCACAAACACAACACCCACAAACCCAACCCCATAATCCCTCAAATTCCTATATAAAAAAACCAATCCCTACAAATACAATCTAACTATACTTCACCACATATCACCCAAACCCCCCAACCAATCTAATAACACCCCCAAAACAACCCCCACAACCACCACCCTCAAAAAAAAACCCCACACACCCCCCCCCCACCCACCCCACCCCACCCCTACCACCCCACACACAACAAACCCCCCACCCAAAAACCACCCACACCAACCACACCACCCAAAAACCAACACAAACCCCACCCACCCACACCACCAATCAATACAATACCACCCTCTACCAACCAACCTACTAACACACCAAACACATTCCTAACCCCTCCCTCCCACCACCCCATCCAACAAACACAAACCCATCCCCAAAACAAACACAAACCCATATCTCTATTCTTCCTACTCTACAACCCCTAAATACCCACCCAACATACACCACCCCCCACCACCATCACAAACAAAAAAAACTACCCCACCAACATATTCACCAAAAAATACCCAAAACAATAACACAACAACAACCCCAAAAACCAACCTCACCCTCAAACCTCCCTCAAAACCAAATCTACACCACCCACCCCCCCCCCCACAAATCCCATAAAAAACCAAACAAATACTACAAAAAAACATATCACAACCAACCCCCCCACACAACACCACCATAACCCAAATCAAAATTCAACCAACCACCCCTCCCACCCCCCTCAAACCCCCCCCCACCCCCACACCCAACACCCACTAAAACAACAAACAACCTACCCTCAAAATACAACCCCCACTTACCACCCCCCCCACCCCACAACAATTTCAACCCACCAACCAAATACCCAATCCCAAACCCCCCCCCCCCCTATAACACTAATCTAACCTAAAAAACCAAAACACAACAAACAACACACTAACACACAAACACAACAAACCACACAAAAACACCAACACACATAACCCACACCCCCCCCCACACACCCACAACCCCCCCCCAACCCCCCAAAAACCCACCCCCCCCAACCCCCCCCAAACCCCCCCAACCTACAAAACCCCCAACACAACCCCCCCTCACAAACCCCAACTCCCCCAACCACACCCCCCACACCAACCCCCCCCCCCAAACACCACACCCAACAACCCCAAACCCCACCAACCCAAACCCCCCAAACCACCCCACCCCACCCAAACCCCCCAACAACACCAACACACACAACCAAAAAACCAAACCAAAACAACACCAACCCCACCACCAACCCATACACCACCCCACAAAACACACCATCCCCACACCCCAACCCACATCAAACAAACAACCACACAACACACACACACAAACAACACACACAAACACACCACACACACCACACACACACCAAACACTACCACTCACAACCACACACACAACACACCACACACACACACACAATCCACAACACACTACACTACTCCAAACACTCTATCACAATCCACTACACACATATCTCACTCATCACCAACTACACCCACACAACCCACACTACACACCACACACACCTCTACACCACACCATCCTCCACTCTCATCCACAACACACATACCTTACTCCTCTCACTCACTACTCTCACACCACACACACCACACTCTCCTACTCAACTCCACACTCTACTCCATACTCTCCATAACACTTCCTCTCTCTCCTATCACTCTCTCTTCACCCACACACACTCACAAAACACCCACACACTCATCCTCTCTCAAAAAAATAATTAAAACAAAATTTCAATTACATATCCCCATCAATCAACCTCTCAATCTTACATACTATCATATCAAAATTCTATCCAACTCCTTCTTCAATACATCCTTATTAACCATTACTCAACTTCCCCAACACATAATTTCCCCCCCTCTCCATCCAAAAACATTACACCTACCCCCACACTCTCTAATAACCCCAAACCCCTCCTATTCAACATCCCTCTTCATCCACCTCCTTTCCATCCCCCAACCCCCCCCTTCACCTTCATCTTACCCTCATCTTAACTCCCTTCATCTTAATACTCCCTTTCCCATCTTATACTCCCCCTTCCATCTTATAACTCCCCCCCTTTCATCTTATATCACCTTCATCTTTTTTAAACTACTTTCCATACTTATACTCCTTCACTCTTATACTCTTTCATCTTATACTCACCTTCATCTTATATCACTTCCATCTTCATAACTCCTTCATATTATACTCATTAATCTTCCCATACTCCATCATTTCCATACTCCCCCCTTCATCCATACTCACTTCATCTTATATTCCTTCCATCTACATACTCCTTCATCTTCATACTACCTATCATCTTCCAAACAAACCAAAACTAAACTCCAACCACACACACCCACCAACTAAATCAATCACATATCCCAACCACTACCTCACCCCCCCATCCCCCCCACCTCCCCACCAACCACAACCACCCCACCCCCACCAACCCAACAAACACACAAACCACCCCCACCCCCCCCACACAACCACACAACAAACCCCAACCCCCACACCACCCACCCCCAAACCCCCCAAACCACCACCCCCCCCCCCACATCCCCCCACAAAAAAAAACCAACCCCACAAAACACAACACCCAAACACAAACACAAAACAAAACCACCAACACCACCCCCACCCCCACACCCAACCCCACCAACCCCACAACCCCCAACCCTCAACCCAAACAACCACACAAACCCTACCACACAAAACAAACCCCCCACTCTAACCCAAACACCCAACACACCACCCCAAAACCACAACACACCATCCACAACAAACACCCCCCACCAATAAAAAATACACCTAAAACCCAACCAACCCCAAACACACCCCCCAAAACCAACACACACAAAACACCAAAACAAACTCACCCCCCCCCACAAACACCCACCAACCCCCCCCCCCCCCCCCCCACCCCCCCCCCACAAACCCCACAAAACACCCCACCCCACCCCAACAACACACCACCCCCACACACACACCACCCACCCCCCCCCCAACACCCCCCTCACACACCAAACACCACTAAACCCCACCCCCCCCCCCCCCCCCCCCCCCCACACAAACCCCCACCACCACCCCCCACCATCACCACAACAAATCCCCCCCCCCTACTACAACCACCCCACAACCACCCACCCCCACCCAACCCACCACCACAAAAAAAAAAAATCACCACAAACCACACAACAACACAAAACCCACCACCCAACCCACACAACCCACCCAACCCAACCACCCCACCAAACCTACACCCCCACCCCACCCCCCCCACCACCACAACCACCCCCCCCCAAAAACCCCAAACACAACAACCCCAAACAACCACCCCCCACCCCCCCCCCCCCCCCAACCAAAAAAAAACCAACCCAACCCCCCCAAACACCCCCACCACAACCAAAAAAAACCCCCACACCACCACAAAACCCAACCACAACCACCCCCACCACAACAACCCCCCACCACCCCACCTACACCACACCCAAACAACCCCCCCCTAACATACCCACCACCAACCCCCCCAACTACACACCCACCACAACACACCCCAAACCCAACCCCCCCATCCCCACCACCCCCCCAACACCAACACCCCACCCACCACCCACCCCAACCAACACCCACCACCAACCCACAATACCCCCCCCCCCCCCAACACACCACATCACTCTCAAACCCTCAATCCTCCCCAACACACCCCACAAACCCCACCAAACTAATATACTAACACAAACCCTTAATCAACACCCAATCAACACAACCCCAAAAAACACAATATACCCCACCATCACCAAACCCCCACACACACACCCAACCCAAAAAATAACCAAAAAAAACAACCCACCCCCCACCACACAAACCCAACCCAAACCACAAACCACCCCCAACACACAAAACACACACCACCAACCAACCAACAACCCCCACAACACCCCACACACACCAAACAAACCCCAACAAAACCACCAACCCAACACAACAACCACACACACCACCCAACAAACAAAAACAAAACACCCACACAACACCCCCCACCCCCCCCCAACACCAAACCCACAACACCCACAACCCCCCCCCCACACCCCCCCCCCCCCACACCACCACAACACACACCCCCCCACCCCCACCACCCCCCACCAAACAACACCACCCCCACCCAACAAACCCCACCACCCACAAACCCCCCCCCACCACACCACAACCCACAACCACAACACCCCAAACACAACACCCCCACAAAAAAAACACACCACCACAACCCACCACAACCACCCCAACACCACACCAACCCCACCACCACCCCCCACACCCCCCCCCCACCAACCACCACACACCCACCAAACACCCCCCAAAACCACCAAACAAACCACCACCCCCACACCCCCCAAAACCCCAACCCCAACACCCAACACCCCACACCCACCCCCCCACACACACCCACCCCAAAACCCACACTACCCAAAACCCAACACCCACCACCCCAACCCCACACAACCAAACAAAAATAAATACAAATAACACACAAATACCTCCACCCCCCCACCCCCAAACAACCTCACAAACACATCAACACAAAACCCCACACCCCCCAAAACCCCACCCCACACAACCAAAAACAAACCAACCCCAAAAACCAACCCCCCACCCCAAAACCCCCACACACAAACCCCAAACACCACACCACCCAAACACCCCCCCCCCAACCCCAAACCCCAAAACCACCCCACCCCAACCCCCCAACCAACAAACAACCACCCCAAATACCCCCCAACCCACACCCAAACCAACAACTCCCCAAACAACCCCACACCCCCCAACAACCCACCAAAACCAATAATAAACAACCCAACCCCCCCCCCCCACACCCCAAAACATCCACAAACCAAAAAACAAAACATAAACCACAAATCCCCCTTCATACCACACCCACACAACACACCACTAACATATAATATCCTTTTCCCCTAATCCATCCCTCCATCCATTAAACCTTTTCCTCCCCCTTCATCATTCATACACACAAACAAAACACTCCAAATAATATTCCCAAACACACCCCATTCCTCAAAAACTAAACCAACCCACACAAACCCCAAACACCAACACCAAAAACCAACACACATCCACATTCCAAATACAACACCACCAAACCCACCTAAAACCCAAACACCCATACAACCCCTCAACAAAACCAACCACCCAACCACCCATACAAAACACACCACCCAACCCCCACCACCCAAAACACCCCACCCCCCAACACCACCACCCCACATACAACAACACAACCACACCAACCAACCCCCCCCAACCCCCCCCCCACCCCAAACACCCCCCCAAAAACAACCCCACCCCACACCCCCCACACACACACACAACAACCCCCCCAACACCCCCCACCCAACCCCCCCACAACCACCCCACCCACCCCAAATCAACAACCAAAACCACCCCCCCCCAAACCCACAACACACCCCACCCCCAACCACCCAACCCACCCACAAAACCCCCAAAAAACAAACCAACACCACCAACACAAACACCACACAAACACCCAACCCCCAACCCCCCCAACCACCACCCCACACCACCCACACAACACCCCAACCCCCACACCCCCCCCAACCCCCCCACCCCCCACCAAACAACACCAAAACACCCCACCCCCACCCCCCAACCCACCACCCCCCACCACCCCCCCCCCCCCCCCACCCACCACCCCCACCCAAAAACCACCACAAAAACCACCAACCCCACCACCAACACACCAACAAACCCCACCACAAATCCCCCACAAAAACCCCACCCACCAAACCACCCAACAACCCCACCCACCCAATCCCCACACCAACCCCCTCCACAAACCCACCACCAACCCCACCACCAACACCCACACCAACCCCAACAACAACAACCCCACAAAAAAAACACCAACACCAAAACCACCACAAACAACCACCAACCCAAACCCCCAACCAAACACACACACCAAAACACAACACAAACCAACAAACAACACACAAACCACAAACCAACCCCCAAACCCACAACAACCCACCCACATCCAAAACCCCCCACCACCACCCACACAAAACCCACACCCAAACCCCCCCCCCACCAACACAAAAACCACAACCCAAACAAACCAACACCCCCAAAACAACACCCCACACCAAAAAAAACCCACACAACCCAACCCAAACAACCCAACAAACACACCCACTACCCATCAACCAAAAACACCACACACATCCCAACCAACTCACCCACAACACACACCCAACCCCCCAACCCCCAAACACATACACACAAACACCCAAACCCCCCAAAACCACTAACCCCCAACACCCCCACCACCCCACACACACAACCACCCACAACAAAACAACCCCCACCACACAACCCAACCTACCACCCAAAACCCAAACCCACAAAAACAAACAACCCCCAAAAACCAACAAACAACACATCAACAAAAAACCACAAACAACAAACAAACAAACAACACCCAACAACCATAACAACACCTACACACACAACCATAAAAAAACCAAAAACCCCCCATACACACAAACCCAAAAACAAAAAAAACCCCAACACAAACACCCACAAAACCCAACTACCCCAACCCCCCACCCACCACCCCCCACCATAACACCACACTACAAACATCAACCACTACAACCAACCCCCAAAATATAAAAACCACCCAAACCCACAAAACCAAACTCTCATCCAACATCAAAATCCACCCAACCATCAAAACCACCCAACCCACATCTCTCCATTACACCCCCCCCACACATCCACAAAACCTCACAACTCACAAACACAACCCTTCACACACCCACCCACAACCAAACAACACAACAAACACACACACCAAACACAACAAAAAACCCCACACACCCCACCCACACCACTCACATCCAACTCCAATACCCCCCCACTCAACCAACCAATAAAATACCCAAACCTCACAACCAACCCACAAAACACAACAAATAACACACAAAACCACAAAACAACCCCACTCACCCCACAACACCCACCCTCCCCCCCACACCCACCCAACCCCCACCCCACCACCCAACCAAAAACCCAAAAAAACCAATATCACAAAACACACACCACCCACCACAAAAACCCAAACAACCCCCCCACCCCCCACACCCCCCCCCCAACAACCACCACCACACCACCCCACACCCAAACCACAACCACACCACCCACCCAACACCCCAACACCAACCCAAACCAATACACAACCCACAACATAAAACAACAACACAATACTTACTTAAACCAAAAACATACCCTAAACAAAACCAACCCCAAACCCACATCATCATAACAAACCACACATTCTATCTCCACCCCCCACCAACACCCCACCCAAATACCTATCCCCTCTTAATCATTATACCCCCCATTACCCACCTCCTTTTTACATCACCATTTAATCACTTTACCATTATCCAAAAATAATCCTAAAAACTTATAAATATTCAACAACATAAAAACCCCCCTTCCCCCACCCCACCCAATTACAACTTTTCCCCCCCACACCACAAAACACCACACCTCCACAACCTTCCCAAATACAATTATACTTAAACAATCCAATACAAACAATACATTATCCACCCCCACATTATCAAATTCTCATCTAAATTACTACCATACCAAATAAATTCATTCAAACATTTCTTCTAATTCCATCCATACAACAAAAAACCCACAATCTCATACTCCACTACTACATATAAACCTAATTAATTTAACACTCCAAATTCATCCTCCCCCAAATTACATTTACTTTCTAATCACATCAATATAAAATTCTTATTTATACCCCTCCTACATTAACAAAAACACACAACCCAAACCTCACCCCAACCCCCACCACCCCCTACACCCCCAACCAACACACCCCCACAACCCCCACACCCAAAAACCCAACACCCACAACCCCACAAAATCACACCAACCACCCAACAACCCACCACCAAACCAACACAAAACCCCAACCCCCCCCAAATCCCACCCACCAACCCCACCAACCCCCCCACAACCATACAACCCACACAAAACCCAACAAACCCACCCCAACACACCCCCCAACACACACAAAACCACACAACACAAACACAAAATAAACCCAACCAAACATACAAAAAAACCCCCCACCACCCCCACACCACCCCCCCCACAACCAACAAAACCACCCCCACACACCACCCAACCACCACACCCACCCACCCCCACCAACAACCAAACAAACACAATCCCCAACAAATAACACCCAAACCAAACCCACACACCCACACCACCACCCCCAACACCAACACAACACCATCAAACACCACTACACAAACACACCCCAACACACACTAAACAAAAACAACAACACAACCACAACCCCCACCACCCCAACCACAATACCCCCCATAACAACACCCAACCCACACACCCTAACCCCCCAAAACCAAAAAACACCACAACCCCCCCACCCACCCCAAAAACCCCCACACCACAAAAAACTACACACAACAACAAAACCAACAACCTCCAAAACCCCAACTAACACCTCAACTCAACCACTTCTCCACACACTCTTACCACCACAACCCCCCACACCCCCCCTCACACCACACCACCCAACACCCCAACACAAAAACCTCCTCACATAACCACCCCCCAACCACAAACAAAACAACCCCCCTCAACCTCCAACAACCCCCTCCAACCATCATTTCCCAATTCCCCCCATCCAAAACATACCCCACTACCCCACCCCAAAAAACACAACACCCACAAATCCCAACCCCAAACCCCTCCTATCCATCACCACCCACTTTACACAAACAATCCAACCAAAAAACATCAAAAAATAAAAACACCACCAACACACCCAAACCCCCCACAAACCAATCCTATATACACCCCCCCAAAAACCACCCTCCCATACACCACACTTCTAATAACCCACACCAAACCCACCCCCAACACCACCCAACACAAACCACACCACACCCTACTCCCATTTATCAATCCACCTCCCCCCTCAACCCTCCCCTCACCAACCCACACACCACAAAAACCCAAAAATTCCCCCTCCAATCACCATCATAAACATTACACCAAAACCCCCCCCATCCATCCAACCACCCCCCCACACACAACACCAAACCCCAATAACACCAACCCACAATACATTCAACCACCACCACCCAACCCACACTCACCTACCAAACAACCACACAATCACACACACACCAACCCCAACTATTCCCCACCCCACCATAACACCCTCCCCCAACACTCTCCCCCCCTAATCTTCACACCAATAACCATAAACTATATAATTCAACCCTCTTCTATAACCCCAATTCTATACACAAATCCCCCCAACCCCCCACACATCTAAACCACACCACCAATCACACCAAATAAAACCAACTAAACACCACCAACACACCCCTCCTACCCATAACTACAAACCACAAAAACAAATACTAAAAACACCCACCAAACCACACAACTCAATACCAAAAAACACCCCCCCAAACCCCACCACCCCACACCCACCCCCCCCCCCCCCCCCCCCACCACCCCCCTCACCACAAAAAAACCAAACCATACACACCACCAACCCTACTACATCCCCCCCTACAATAACATACATAACACCACCAATACCAATCCCCATACCCCCCCAAACCCCCCCAAACCAAAATATCAACAATAACAAAAATTAATAACAAAACAAAATAAATAAAAAAATAATACACAAACAAAAAACTCAAATCAAAAAAACACACATACCCAATACAACCCCCCCTCTCCCCTACTCAAAACCCCCCCCATACAACCCTACAAATACCCAACCCAAACCCACCCCACCAACAAACCCCAAAATACCCTAACCCCCCATAAAACAAAATACTCACTACACACCCTCCCCAACTAACTACCCTACCCCCAACTCCAAACACAACCCCCTTTCAACACAACCCATACTACCCATAAACCCTAATACCCCATACACAAACATTCCCACTCAACTCCCAATCCAACAACCCACTATCCACTACATACATTAACAATAACTATTCCCTTCTCCACTTCCCCCCAACCTCCTTTCTCCCCCACCCCATTAAAAAACCTCCCACACAACCTCAAACTTACATAAATCTCTCTTTCCATCTCTTCCTCTTCTCACACTCTACTCTCCTCTTTCCCTCTCTCTCTCTCTCTCTCTTCTTCCTCTCTCTCTATTCCCTCTCTCTCTCTCTTCCCTCTCTCTCACATCTCTCTCCTCATCTCTCCTCTCTTCCTCTCTCTCCTCTCTCTCTCCCCCTCTTCTTCCCTCTCTATCTCTCCCTCTCTCCTTCTCCCCCTACTCTTACCTCTCTCCTCTCCCTCTCTTCCCCTCTCTCTCCCTCTCTCCCTCTCTCTCTCCTACTCCTCTCCTCTCCTCTTCCTCTCGCTCACTCTTCTCCTCTCTCTCTCCCTCTCTAGCTCCTCTCTCACTCCTCTCACTCTCCCTCTCTCTCCCTTCTCTCTCCCTCTCTCTCAACTTACTCCTCTCTCTCTCCCTTTCTCTCCCCCTCTCTCTCTCTCTTCTCCCCTCTCTCAAAAAAAATTTAAAAAAAAAATCACCTTCAATATATCATAATCCAACCCTCCCTATCCCCTTAAACTAATACTCTAATATACAAAATTTTATCCAATAAACCCCACCTTCTCCCTTATAACTCCTCTATTACCCCCTTTAATCAACTTCCCACTACCTCATAATCCTTCCCCCCCCTCTCCCCCCCATCAAACAAACCTACATACCCCCACTCTCCTATAACCTCAAACCCCATAATATTCAACATCCCTTTTCCCTCCACCCTCCCCCTTTTACATCCCACACCCCCCCCCCTTCACATCATCTTACCCTCCTCTTATACTCCCTTCATCTTCCATATCCTTCCATCTTATAAACCCTCATCTTTTAATCTCCTTATCTTATACTCACTTCATCTGTTATCCTCATCTATATACATACCTCCTTCATCTTATACTACTCCTTCATCTTCTTACTCACTTCCATCTTATAACTCACTTTCATTTATAGCATTCATCTTCTACTCCTTCATCTTATAATCCTTCAATCATATACTCCTACATCTCATACTCACCTTCATCTTATTACTCCTTCAATTACATACTCCTTCATCTTATACTTCTCTTCATCTTATACTCCCCCTTCATCTTATACTCTTCATTTCAAACTCAACTTCAATCTTATCATCATATACATACTCTTCAATCAACAAAAAAACCCTACCCAACTACCAACAAAAAATCTCACCCAACAACCCCCCCACAAAAAAACAAAATCAATCAAAACACCCTCCACACATACACTCCATAATCACACCAATCCATTCCCCCATCATAACCACTACCTCCCCCCCTCCCCAACACAAAAACTCATCCCACCCAATATAAACCTATTATTACTTTAATACCCTACTTTTTCCTAAAATCATATCACCCTTAATATATTTATTCCTCCTATCCAACCTCCTACCCCACACTCAACTACCCCCACACACCCCTCATTACCCAAATACAAATTCCCCCCCCCCCCCCCCCTATAACTCATAATAATACCCCCCCCATATCAATAATTCCCTAACAAAACTTAATATTCAAACTCCTCAAAAAACCCATCCATTCTCATTATCTCCATCCTCATCCTAAACAACCCCCAAAAAATATTTAATTTCCCATCCTTCCAAAATTTCTAATACTATTCTCCCAAAAAAAAATTCCCCCCAACTAACTCCATTTCTAACCTTTATCCAATATAACCACACACCCCTAAATATAAAAAACTTTAACCACCCCACCAACCCCTACCCCCCACAATCAATCTCTTCCCATCCCTCCACCTACCCCCCCATCCCTCTTAAAACCTTACCCTCTCACTTAAAAAACTCCCCCCCACCATCCCACCCCAAAATCTAACCCCCCCTAAATAATCCCATCTTTCTAACATCCCCCACACAACCAACCCCCCCCCACCCACACCCAAACTCACCCTTTCAAAAAAACCCCATCCTCCCCATAATATATATCCAATATCCAACTCTCCTCATACCCCCACACCCACACACACACAACCACCCCACCAAAAAAACCACCCCAAAATTTACCTTTTTTAATTATTCCTAACTCTATCCTAACCCCTTCCCTCCCACACAAACACAAACATAACATACCTATCCCAATCTCCCTACAATTCAATCCCAAACCCTCCCCCCAAACTTAACCCCAACCCACCACCCCAAAAACAAAAATACATCAACCCCCCCCTATTTCCCAATATCCATTCCATCCAAATAATTCACCAAACCCAAAAAACCCCACCCCCCATTCCCCCTAATTTTATCCCACAATACTTCCAAACAAACTATCCTCCCCCACCTAACCCCCTCCTAACCCCCTATTTCACAATCCATCACCCCCTAATAACCCATTCATATCATCACCCACTCATCATATATACATCTACATAACACCCCATCCCCATACCAAATCACTAACCTTTAACATAAAACCCTCCTCTCTTCTCCCATCCTCCCTTTCCCCCCTTTTACTCTCACATAATAATTCTCCTAAACCTTTCAAATTCACCCCCCCCTCAAACTAAACCCCAACCTTCTCATATCCTCCCCCAAACAATCCCATTCCTTTACACCTCCCCCCCATCCCCACACCCCTCCTTCCTACACCCCCAAACCCACACCCCCCTTCTCCTCATTCACTCACATCTCTCTTCCATCACCCCCAATTCATCCCATCTCACCACATAATCTTATTTTCATTATTAACTTTATCATTATATAATCCAAACCCCCACCCCACACTAAATCCAATATTCCCCCCCCACTAAATCAAATTAAACCAATCCCCCCTCTCCCAACAACCATAAATTATATACACCTTTATTCATATTCCCCAAACCCCCTCAAAAACATTCACACAATCTCCATTCCAAAAAATCCACCCCAACCCACCTCCTAAATATCCCTTCCCTCATCAATAAATTACCCAAATTCCCCTCCACACCCCACCTATAACTAAAACATCTAACACCTCTCTATACATTTCACAATTATCACCATTACCTACAAACAATAAATTCTAATCCTAAATTCTTTCCCTTCTTTAAATTACTCAAATCCTATCTATTACTACCACAACCAAACCCCACACCAATAATCCTATCACAATCTCTAAACCCTAATTTCACACAAAAATAACACACAACACCAAAACCACACCCCCAACTAAAATAATAATAATCTTTCACACCCCCCCTCAAACCCCTCCAAACCCAACCCCTTCACCATATCCTCAAACACAATACCATTCATTCTACAACCTACCCTTCACCAACCCCTCTTCTACCACCCCCACCCAAACCACACCCCCAATTCTCCTCATCACCTCTAAATCACTCTCCTCTCCCTCTTCAATCACACATTCATCCATCTCACACCTATCTTATTTTCTTAATAACTTTCCCCCCACTATATCACCCCAATTTCCCCCCAACATTTCTTATATCTCCTCCCTCAAACCCTCACACACACCCCTATTAAACCCTAAATCCCCTATTTCTCCCCCCATATTACCTCATTATAATTACCTCATCCCCCCCACCCCCACAAATTCCCATCCCCCCCCCCCCCCTCATACATTATACCCTCCCAACAATCCCCCCCCCCACCCCACTCATACAAACAATCCTAACACTCTCTCACATTTCAAATTATCCCAAAATCACTAAAAATAATCTCATCTTCATACTTACTCTTTAATTACTCAAAATCCTATAATCACCAAACAAACACACAATAATCCTATCAAATTATATACCCTCCAATTTCCAAAAAATACACCCCCCCCATTAACCCAAACCCCCTACAATTCCATATTCTATAACCAACTAAACATTAACAATCCCTAAACCCCCTCCTCTCACACCCCCTCTTCTATCACCCACCTTCTCAATCAACCCCTTATCAAACAAACAACACTACAAACTATTCCCCAATTCACAACCCTCAACCATCCAAATTTCCATCTAAATAATCATCCCTACCTTTTTTCCCCCCCACAATCTCCCCCAAAACCTAAAAAACAAATAACCCCCCAAATCCCAACACCCCCCCCAAACACCCCAACCCTAAAATATACCCATAATAATCAACCTCCCCCCCCCAACCCAAAACACAAAACATAATCCTTTCCATATTCCTCCCTTAACCTTTTTCTCCCCAACTCCTTCCCATACCACACACACACAACACACACTTTCATTATCAATTCCATTTATCCCTCAATATCCCTCCTCAATTAACCTTTTCCTCCCCTTCATTCATCATTCACACACACACAAACAAATCCACCATTTATATTTCATAACCCCCCCTCTTCCCCATCTCCTATAAAAACCCCTTTCCCTCCCTATATTACACCTTTAACACATAACAAATATCCCTCTCATCATAAAACCCTACCTCATTCCACATAACCCTCCATATTCCAACCTTAAACAAATCCCAACAAAAAATCCACTCCCTCCAAAAAAACCAACCCTCACTTAAACCCCCTTAACATACAACCCAAACCCCTCCTACCACCCCCCTACAAATAATCCCAAAACCACAAAAAACATCTACCCCCCTACTTCATACACACAACCTTCCCTTCTACCCTCCACAATTAAACCACATTTCCCCCCCAATAAACATTTCCACCCATTCTTCTATTACCCCCCTCCCCCCTATCCCCCTCCCAATATCCACTACTTCCTACCCAACCAAACCCCTTCTTTCCCAAACCTACCCCCTCTCACCCACTCATTACTCCCCCACATCCCACTCCCCCCCATATTCTTCTCCAAATTTCCCCCCCTCACCAAAATTCCATCTACTAAACTACCATAAACATAACTCAATTCCCACCAAACACATTTACCCCCCCATTTTTATTACAATCCTCCCATACCCTCTCCTATTCACCAAAATTCATCACCATAACCCCACCCCCCTATACAAAAACAATCCTCCTCCACCTCATCAAAAAAACTATTATACTCAACTTCCAACATATAAACAACTCATACCCACCCATAACCCCCCAATCACAATTACTAACCATTTTCTCACATCCACCCCCCCCATCCCCCCATACAATAACTAACCATCATCCACCCCCCACCAACACTTCAACCATAAACCCCCCCTCACTAACCTTTTAAACTACACTATATTCCTTATAATTAACCCCCATAACTACATTTAACCTACCCCCTACATTTAACCTCACTAATTTAACCTCACCCTACATTTTAACCTCACTACATTTACCCTCACCCTACATTCAACCCCCTAACCCCTAATTTAACCCTACTACCCCATTTAAACCTTAATTAACCTACACTACCCATTTAACCTATTAATTCAACCTACAACATTCAACCCTACTACAATTAACTCCACTACCCCATTTAACTCCCCACCCTAATTTAACCACTCACTAATTCAACCTACCCCCTACATTTACACCCCCCTTTACTAATTTACACCTCACCAATTACACTACCCTACCATTTACCACCTCCACTACCTATTTCACCCCCCCTACCCATTCAATATATAAATAACACAAATCCTACCCCATATAACCTTAAATCAAAAAAATACCCTCCCAAATACCCACCCACACCCCCTCACCACCACCCCACCCCCCCCCACCCCCATACCCCCCCACCATATACCCCACCAAAATCCCACCCCCCTAAATACCAATAAACCATACTCAACCCGACCCCCCCCCCCCAACCCCCCACCCCCCCCCACTCCCCCCACCCACCCCCCACCCCCCCAACCCCCCACCCCCCCCACAACATTCCCCATTCCACCATCACCCCCACATACCCCCCCATAACACCACACATACCCCCCCACATACCCCCCCACACATACCCCCACCACCCCCACATACCCCACATACCCACACATACCCCCACATACCCCACATACCTACCATACCCCCACATACCCACACATACCCCCCACATACCCACACCATACCCACACATACCCACACATACCCCCACAGACCCCCCCCCCCCCCACATACCCACACATACCCCCACATACCCACACATACCCCACATACCCCCACATACCCACACATACCCCCACATACCCACACATACCCACACATTCCCCCACATACCCACACATACCCACACATACCCACACATACCCCCACATACCCACACATACCCCCACATACCCACACATACCCCCACATACCCACACATACCCCCCCCCCCCCCCCCCCCCCCCCCCCACATACCCCCACATACCCACACATACCCACACCATACCCCCACATACCCCCCCCCCCCCCCCCCCCCACATACCCCCACATACCCCCGGTTGGGGGTACACGAACACTGCCTCACAGACTACAGTCTTAAAGGCCGTTGCTGGTCGTACATGTTTATCGTGGTAGAAACCGGACAACAACACAGACATGGGGAGAACATGCAAACTCCACAGAGAAAGGCCCTGTCTTTATGGATACTTCTTGTCTATATTCAACATAATTGAATTGGTGTTTCTGTTATGTATGTTTTCATCTATACAGTATATAAAGTTACATACCCTAGCTTTAAAATACAGTGTCATTGAGAGCCACAGGTGTCATAGATTCTGTTGAGACGGGACTTTTTGATTTGACCAAACCTGAAGTTATCCAGTAATTTAAACTCTCCAGCGTTTTGTTATTTATTTTTATTTGTGGCCAGATCTTGTGCCTCTGCTGCTTCTCAGGCTAATTCTTAAATATCCACAAATCTCCCCAAATGTAGCTCCATCTGATAGGACCGGGGAACGCTGGGATTAGATTAATGGATAGTTTTGATGCCGTCGCTCTCTTTGAACATTGTACATGACGTTAATGAACCATCAAAGCAGAGCAGTTACACAGTTAGTGGCTGTAATCAGATTACTCTGTGGGAGAACCGCTTTTCAAAGTATACTTCAAACATCACGGCTGCTTCACCAAGAGAGATGGAACAGAATCTGAATTATAAGAGCGTGTTTTGATCATTTTTGTTGCGTGTTTGATCAGTGTGTTGTCATGTCTCTTTGAACCCGAAGCAATTGTGTGGTGCATAAAAACCGCTGTTCGGTCATGTGTGAGGCTGATAATCCTACTGTATCCTACTGTGTCCTACTGTGTCCTACTGTATCCTACTGTATCTTACTGTATCCTACTGTATCCTACTGTACCCTACTGTGTCCTACTGTATCCTACTGTGTCCTACTGTGTCTTACTGTATCCTACTGTATCCTACTGTATCTTACTGTATCCTACTGTATCCTACTGTGTCCTACGGTATCCTACTGTATCCTACTGTACCCTACTGTGTCCTACTGTATCCTACTGTGTCCTACTGTGTCTTACTGTATCCTACTGTATCTTACTGTATCCTACTGTATCCTACTGTATCCTACTGTGTCCTACGGTATCCTACTGTATCCTACTGTACCCTACTGTGTCCTACTGTATCCTACTGTGTCCTACTGTGTCTTACTGTATCCTACTGTATCTTACTGTATCCTACTGTATCCTACTGTATCCTACTGTGTCCTACTGTATCCTACTGTATCCTACTGTACCCTACTGTGTCCTACTGTATCCTACTGTGTCCTACTGTATCCTACTGTATCTTACTGTATCCTACTGTATCCTACTGTGTCCTACTGTGTCCTACTGTATCCTACTGTGTCCTACTGTATCCTACTGTGTCCTACTGTATCCTACTGTAACCTACTGTATCCTACTGTGTCCTACTGTATCCTACTTTATCCTACTGTGTCCTACGGTGTCCTACTGTATCCTTCTGTGTCCTACTGTATCCTACTGTATCTTACTGTATCCTACTGTGTCCTACTGTATCCTACTGTGTCCTACTGTATCCTACTGTAACCTACTGTATCCTTCATGAGTGAGGCCCATGGATCTATAATAATAACTGGATAGGGAATTACTAGCGTACAGCTATCCCACCCATGGCCACAGGGGGCGCTGTGGTACTACAGATAAAATTCACATGGGCTACCCAGAAAAAAGTCCCATAGAACTCGATGTAAACTAAAACAGCTCAACCTCAGCTGACAGAGAACCTACAGAGAACCTGACAGAGAACCTACAGAGAACCTGACAGAGAACCTACAGAGAACCTGACAGAGAACCTACAGAGATCCTACAGAGAACCTGACAGAGAACCTGACAGAGAACCTACAGAGAACCTGACAGAGAACCTGACAGAGAACCTGACTTTCTTTAAATCCACACTTTACTGTCACAAACTCTGCTCCTTTCCTTCCCGCTCTGACTCCGCTCTGACCAATCAGATCAGCATCTCTGATTGGTCAGAGGCCGAGCCCCTCTGTGCACGTGCATGAGAGCCACACACACATATTTGGCGCAAAGCATCATGGGAGCTCGTCCACTGCGCAGAACCCGGAAGGACCAGACGAGGCCCAAATATGGGCGAGTTCAGCTAATCTCCCGGTCTCCGTGAAGTCCCATGAACTACTGAGCACAAGCCGTTCATTGGAATACGGCACCATCTTGGATCACCGGGGCTCGGTGAGGCCTGAGTCAGCTGATAAATCCTACTGTCCAAATTCCACTGCATGAATTTTAATTTTAAATTAAAATCAGTTTTGGTTAATCATTTTTAACTGAAAAACTAAATAGATTACAGAGTTATCAATCATGGCAAATGGAATCTACCTATTTGTCATTTTTCTCAAACTGATTTGTGTTTCCACTGACGACTCAATTCATTAAAATAAGGCTGTATATTAAAGCTGGGATGCGTGACTTTCCATGGCGCCACCTGCAGGTCAAAGCCAGATCCTGCCAGACCTCTGAAGCTAAGCAGGACAGGACCTCTGGGAACAGCAGGTGCCACAGTGGGGCGGCTGCGGCTGCGGCTGTAAAGTGCCAAACTGTGGTTGTGTCCTTTGGCAAGACACTTCCCCCACATCAGAATGAGTCTGGTGTGTGTATGAGTGGTTGGTGGTGGTGGGAGGGGCCGATGGCACAGACTGGTTTCCTCGCTTCTGTCAGTGTGCCCCAGGGCAGCTGTGGCTACAATAGTAGTTTGTAATGACATGTGAAGCGTCTTTGAGAGTCCATAAAAGCGCTGTATTAAACTAAAACATAATTATCTCGTCTTCACTCTCTGCTCCTCTGTACGTATGTCACACCCTAATCCACAGGAAGATTTTCGCTAATTCCCTTCACAATAATTAACCAAAATCCCCAATATCTGGTGATATCTGACAATAAGAAACTCAGCAATCTGACATTTCATTAGTTGAACTTATTTTGAGAGAATAAGAATCTCTGGTTTACATTGAGAGAAAGGGTTTGGATAAAACAAACATCTGCTTTTCCCACCTCTTTTCAAACCCATATTAGTGTGAAGATGTGAGGAATTTGTTCTGCAGGTTTTAAATAAATATAATCTTAACGGTATTGTCTGAAAGCTGATCTTGTTGTACTTGTTTTAATGCTCCATCCACACTTACAGCTGGAATGTTTTCATCTGTTATAATTACCAAGTGATGATAATGTTATTACAGATTTATATGCGGCTCTCTGGACAAAGTTACACAGACCATAATTCAAATACTGGTGTTTTTTCAGTTCTGTCCTCTAGGTGGTGCTGTCCTCTTCACCATAATTACCAGAGATAACAGCCGCCTCTAATTACAACACATGAGGCAGCAGTTTTAATTCAATTCAATTTGTTTTTGTTATTTTTATTACTGTTTAGGAGCCATTGGTCCATAGGGAGAGGGTTGACCAGTGTCCATACATGTTAATAAGTGTTCCTCAGACCCTCCTGCATCAGAAAGGCTCTCAAAAACACGCTGGGAAAAGAGAAGAGAAAACCTCTGCGAGATATTCATGTCATTATTTGACTTTTTGGGCTGAGAGTGGATTTTTTTATATATTTTTCCACACATTTAGTGTCACTTTGTTGCCAACTCTTTTTGACTTTTTGTATCGAGAAACATGAGTTAGTCTCACGTTATTTTCCTGTGTGGAAGTTGTCTCTTTTTTGTTTTATTCTACTGAAGGTTTATTATAATGCTATTCATTCTTATTGAAAGCCACAAGTGTCAGCTCTCAAAGTCTTTTGAACTGATGTTTCTATCTGCTACAGAGGCCGAGATATCAATCATTCTGCAGCCGTAGAACTTCAGGTTTTAGACTTGGTTCTGAAGTCGGCCTCAGGTTTTACAGGTCTGTTTTACCAGGTGTGTTTTACCAGGTGTATTCTACCAGGTGTGTCAGGCCTTGGGTTAAGGCTCATATTTAGGCGCAAGATCCATGACATCAAGAGGAAGATCCACTCAAACCGACAATAATAATAATTGACCCACTCCACACATTATCTCCAATTATAGATAGATATTTTATTGAGGAGAAATGCAGGAGTCCAGCAGTAGAAAGCTCATCCAGGTTTGTTGTACAGTCTGACAGCCGAAGGAACAAAGGATCTCTTGAAACATTCTGTTCGGCAGCGTAGTGATAGGAGCCATTATGACACTGAAGCAACAATAACGTGAATATGTTTCTTTCCCACAGGATCACGGACCAGCGTTATGACAGACTGCCCTTCTTCCTCTTCGGAGATTTCAACTTTCGGCTGGACTCGAAACTTGTCATTGAGGTAAGTTTTCTCACCGATACAACTGCGATACCCCAAGTTTAACCTCTTTTTAAACCACAGAATCTGTATTTTGTAATGTTAACATTTCAGCTAACCACACATGTTCACGTTTAGCCTTAGCTGGTCGTTAACCTCCTCTCTGTGGCCGTATCGCAGCTGTGTTTGCCCACCGTCCCACCATCCATCCCCATTCACTGCAAATGAAGCCAAAGGTGGGGCCATCATTACCGAGGGCCAGTTTTTAAGCACTAAAGGGACCACCATAGACCCGGCTTGCAGACTTGAGATAACAGCCACTTGTTTGGGCCAATTCTGAAGCACACAATGGCTCTCAAGTCACTGGGCCTGTTCAAGGTGTGGCTATTGTTGGCCATTGAGAGGCCGAGGGAAGAGGAGGGGGTCGGGATAATGAATGAACGGCTTCTTTAAATGACTCA